TGCAGCTGTCTATACTGTCTATTAATTTGAGTGATTCTCTTTTCAGTTAGACTTTTGTAAATTAAAAGAAACCCTACTGAAGTTAACAGAGTTTAGCAGTGAAAAAATTATGCAAGAAGCAAATGAGGCCCAAAGTTCCTAGAACTAAAATTGACTATAGGGGACAAACTCTGGGGAAATGCATTCACAAAAGCTGAACTAAATTACTAAAAAGCAATTAATTGAGCACCCATTCTGTTTGGTTTAAGAAACATTTGATCTGTTTATCTTAAGGAAACATTTTTGCCTTCATAAAATAATGTAGTGTAGGTTATGTACTCCGCTAAGGTCTTTTTACATCACCTCACAGAATGGACTGGCAAATATCCCAGGGCAGGTGTGGCACAGGGTGGTATGCAGGTCTAAGCTATTTTCTTGCATGCAGAGAAACAAGTAAGGAGTGGTAAAATCTTTCACTGGACAAACCTCTGTGGCTGAGAGATAAAAGTTTCTTCATGCATGCAGTTAGGAGTGGCTGGATTGGGATGGGGTGTGCCTGGACACATTAGTTATTCTGGGCTATCAAAGAACTGTTCTAACTTATGCCACACTGGCCCTTGTAACAGCTATATGGGAAGTGCAAAAGTACAGCATATAATCTGGCCCCTATGTATTTTTAGCCACCAACAGAGCAGATTTGAACCCTGGACTCCCAGAGCTTAGTGGGGGAGCCTCTACAGCTTGAACTGTAAAGCCAACTGGCTCTCAGCATTCTGTAAGTGGTTCAAGTGCCACTACATTGTACAGTAAATCACCCCTCACTAGGTGTGTGGGTTACATATTTTTAATATTATATTATCATCTGCCATTTTAGACTGAGTGTCCTGCTTTATACTATTTCCACTCTAGTGAAATACGCACACTGGCTGCGTCTAGACTGGCACTCTCTTGCGCAAATACTTTTCATGCAAGAGTTCTTGCGTTAAAGTATTTGCACAAGAGAGCATCTACAATGGCATGTGCTTTTGCGCAAGAGCATCCCGTGCCCAGTGTAGATGCTGTCTTGTGCAAGAAAGCTCCGGCGGCCATTTTCGCCATCGGGGCTTTCTTCCGCAAAAAATTCCTGTCCCTGTCTACACTGGCCTCTTGCGCAGGAACATTTGTGCAAGAGGGCTTTTTCCCGAGCGGGAGCATCAGAGTTCTTGCGCAAGAACACTGATGATCATACATTAGATCGTTAGTGTTCTTGCGCAAGAACTCATGGCCAGTTTAGACAGCTGGCAAGATTTTGCTTTTGCGCAAAATCTAGCCAATGTGTAGACAGCCACTGTGTGGTTGATCTGCCTATGATCATCATGAAGCTAGATGTATATCCAGCCCCTTGGTGGAGCAGTTGTAGGTATCAGTCTACTGTGACATTTTGGCTTTTTGTCTCTAGAGGCCCACACCTACCCCAACTAAATCAAGGTCTCAGTATTCATATGTTATGGTACAACAGAGGATAGAACACTCTTTTCTCAGCAAATGCTGGGCTAGTGACCACCGAGTCTTTGGCCAGATTGAGAACATTAACTAAAACAGATTGAGAACATTGGTTCGATCCTGTTTGATCTACAGTACAAGACTGATCCATGTTTTAACAATGTTTTGTGCTATTATATTGTAACTTGATTTTCCATCAGCTTTCT